CTGAACCCGAAGACGAAAGGTAACCCGTCGAGAAAGGCTTCAGCCCTGCATTGCTTTGCTTCTCTAAGATTCGAGACCAATCCAAATGCTTTTGAGGACTGAGGCAGGCTGGAACACCTGCAGAATACTCCGAAGCCTCAGAGGCCAAGGGCACTGTGCGAAAGGCTGGAGCATCAGAGGGGCATGGGAAGGATGCTCCGTAGCTACCTTGGGCCAAATGCCATCGGCCAAGGAGGGTTCCGGGTGTTCGCCAGGTTTTCCTGCCTGTTTGCTTTCTGTTGGGTGTTACAAAACAGTATTGATTGGGGTTTTTTGGCTTGGAGGTGTCATGCAGGGTGAAGGGGTTCCTTGGGGTCTTTCTTTCTGTCCATGGGGGAGGGGTGTTTAGTCCTGTTTCTGTGTAAGTGGGATGAAGGTAGAAAAAACCTACTGCTCCTGGGATCCTCAGTTTGTCTCCCATGTCCCATCTAAGTACTAACCAGGCACAACCCTGCTTAGTTTCCATGTTCAGATGTAGTGACCAAGTTTGAGTCCAGTGGCCTCTATACAATCAACTAAGGCCCCGGTCACACAGCAAAGTTGCCGCGGATTTTCTGGGCGCGATCACACCCCAACATCTGGGAAGCGCAGTGCTCCCGTGGCAAACCCATGGCTCCCCGCCGAAGGTGCGGATTAAAAAACTAGTACTTACAGGGGACCTCGACCGGGACGTGTGCTCGGGTGGCCGTGCGTTAGTTTCCTCCGGGGCAATTAGCCACGCCTTCCCCCCGTGATATCCGGCCCGTGTGACCGGGGCCAAAGTTTAGTTTCTGGGTTTAAGTAAGAACAGAATGATTTAGCATGTGTAGTGAGATAAGAAGCCGATATCTCTGTTAAGCCCTGGGAGTTCCGTTGTCCTGAGTGTTGTAATAACTTGTAATTCAGCAATCTCCCCTTCCAGTCTGTTTCTGAAATTCCTTTGCAATAAAACAGTTACTTTGAGGTCCCCGACTGAGTGCCCTGGGAGGCTGAAATGTTCTCCTACAAAACACTCAGGACAATGGAACCCCCCAAGGCTTAACAGAGACATCGGTTTCTTATCTCACTACCCATGCTAAGTCATTCTGTTCTTACTTATACCCAAAAATTAAACTTTGTTGGTCTTTTAGAGGCCACAGGACTCACACTTGGTTCTCACATCTGTTGTTAACGCCTTTATTATCTGTATGCCAACTTGCTGCTTTTTACGTGATGTCCTACTATATGTGTTATTCCAATCTTAGCTATATTTATTGCTCATTTACTTAAGCATCTTGAGTCTAATCAGCTCTTCCTGGCAACTAACACCCCCCCATGTAATATCTGAGGAAATCTATTTCAATGTATGTGAAGAAAAGTGCACACACTGAGTCTCTGTTCTCCCATGTACACAGGGTTGAGCTCGGTTTGTCTTGGGGAGGCCGTTGGACTCTAGCTTCATTCTCACATCTCTGTTAACTCTTGCGTTTGCATGCTAATTTGCTCCCATCCCATCCATTGATCTTACCGGGCCACCTGATCCAATTTCAGCTGTGCTTATGCATCTTGGCACTGAGTGACCCCTCCTAACGTCTGTCCCCCACCCTCTTTTTCCCCTGTATGTAGCCCTTGGGGAGATTTTGCTCCCTCTGCAGAGTCTTCCACTGGGGTCTAACCACACCAGTTACCCCCCACACACACACCATAGCTATACCACACCATTCCAATTCCCGCTCCTGGCTGAATGAGGGTCGGAAGCGGGGCGGCCAGAAGCAGGGGGCGGGGCTTCGTCATGTGCCCCGCCCCCTGTACCTCACCTGGGGGAACTGCGATCCCCCCGAAATGACCTCTGCTGCTACCTGAAATAACCCGACAGAAATGCACTTTATCAAGACCCCATGGGTGTAACCCAGCCAGTCATGTGTCCCTAACGCTGCACTCTTACGCCCCTTTAGGTGGGAGGAGAACACGCTCGATGACCATCTCGATAGATAGCTATAAGACTGGGCTTCATGTCCTATCGAAAGCTGTGGAACTAAGATCACGATTAAATGCCAAGGAGCCTAAGTAGAACAGGGCCGTGCTGCTGCTGAGGAAATCAGCCGTGAGCGTGTCAAAGAGCCACCCGGAACCGAAACCGGGGAATGAGAAGACGTGCGTGCCTGTTGGGTGTACACACATCTACCAGGACTCTGTCCCCCGAAACCCAGATCGAGATTTCTTCCCCAAAAAATCAGCAAATAAGCATTCTGCTGGGACACAAATGCTGCTGTTTCCATTCTAAGCATTTATTTGCTGCCATGGCAAGAGTTCGCATACGTGTGTGCCGTGAAGTCGCAGCAGACTTATGGCGACCCCAGCCATGGGGCTTTCCAGGCAAATGAGAAGTAAAGGTGGTTTGCCAGCACCTCCCTCTGCAGAGTCTTCCACTGGGGTCTAACCACACCAGTTACCCCCCCCACCCCCTCTATGTCACACTATACCCAGCAAGACTAAGGATCAGGTTCTCTGAGAAGAAGGTCCTTGTTTCCGCACAGTTTCATTTAACTTGTCATATTGCCTTGCAGGGCCACTCGATCCATCCTCACAATCTGTCTCTGCATCCTTTTGCCATGCTGACGGCCCCCCAAGCTGCTGAACACGCCTGGAGACAGAGTGAGTTGTTTTTCCTTTGCTCATAAGAATATAAGAGAAGCCATGTTGGATCAGGCCAATGGTCCATCCAGTCCAACACTCTGGTTGCGTTCAGACTGGCAGTTTGACACGATAGCGTGCCGCCTCTAATTGAACTAGTTTAAAGTGTTGCGGGGCATATCAGCCACACAGCACACCCTGCTGTGGGTTACGCACGGAGACTTCCCGTGGTCAAGCATCAACATTATTGCAGCGCCTCAGACACGGAGTGCACTGCAAAAAAGGTTCAAAATTCATGCATGTACATAAGTGGGCATGCGCCGCATATGCACTTGTGTGCATGCACACACATGCGCATATAAGCAGGTGTTTTTTGTTTTTTTTAAACACCTCCAAGAGGCAGAACGGATCTGCAGGTTCAGACTGCCAAATCCATTCTGCGTGCACTCCCCCCTGTTCAGACATCCAGCCATGCGCAGTGAATGCGCGGGGAAACAAAAACACCACTTTGGAGGTGATGGCTTTTTAACCTGGCTCCAAGTCGTCCTCTGACAGGGTGAGTACGCCCGGGGAACGCCTGACAGATGTGGCTGTGTGACCGGGCTCATTTAATCCGTTTGTGAAATGTGCTTATATCCGGCCAAACTGCCAGTCTGAACGCAACCTCTGTGTCACACAGTGGCCAAAACCCAGGTACCATCATTCAGGAGGTCCACCAGCAAGGTCAGAACTCCTGGAATGGAACTCCTAGGATGGAGAGTGTAGACACCTGGCTTGTTCCACCCACATCTCTCAACCTGCAGATGCACCTTTATCTTTCGTGCTGCCCATCTGAACCTCTTGCACATGAACCCCTGTAGCATCTTCAGACCTTTGGAGGTGCTGAAAGGAGGTATGATACCCATGAGGAAACCAAGAAGAATGGATGGGTATGACTCTCCAACAAAACAGTAAAGAGTTTCAAAATACACATTTAATGGAGAAGGGCTGTAGCCAAGCGGTAGAGCATCTGCTTTGCATGGAGAAGAACCCAGGTTCAATCCCCGGCATCTCTAGTAGAAAAAACCAGGAAGCACTTGATGTGAACCCCTGGAGAACCGCTGCCCAGTCTGAGTAGACAATATTGACCTTGGTGGACCAATGGTCAGATTCAATATTAGAGCCCCAAATCTAATTGCCGAACAATGCAAGAGCAAGAAAATTAATATGCTGTGTTCTCTTCCCTAAGGTATCAAGTCCCACAGGGCTTCTGCAAACCGAAATCCCACCAGTAGCTCAAGAAAAAGAACGGGTACCAAGGCCTAACAAGGAGGGCTGCTATTTTCAAATGATCAATGTCCTTGGAAAGTAGGTTTAAAAAAAAATCAAATGCAAACAAATTTCTACTAATAATCTCTTGTGGCCCAATCCTGTGCACGTTTAGTCCTTGAGTTAATAGTGGGGCTTATTCACATGTCAGCATACATCGGGCTGAAGCCTTAAGGAGAACTTGGAAGCAAAAATCCACACCAGAGTCCAGATTGTAACCCAAGAGCAAGAGATGTGGGTTCTATAATGTGACATGGTGGTGTGGTGCAGTGGTTACAGCAGGGCCCCCCAACAGGGTGCTTGTGGGTGCTGTGGAGCCTGCCACCGACACCTTTTTTCTGTGCCCACCAAGTGTTTTTAGAAAGTGTGGGACCAGGTGGGGTTTTTCCCCAGCATGGCCTCTGATTGGCCGTTGGCTGTGGGGATTTTTAAAAACATTCTTTTGGCTGCCGCTGCCGCTGCCACCACAACACAAGGATCTTTTCCACTGTGAGACTGAAGGGAAGCCATGGCAGCCATTTTGTCACTGGCTCCGCCTCTGGCAGCAGCCATTTTGTAACACTGCTGACCACACTCTGTCAGAATTCCGAAGGTGCCCACAGGCTCAGAAAGGTTGGGGAACCCTGGGTTCGAGTGTTGGGCTGTTCTCTGCCATGGGAGCTCACACCAGGTACCCTTGGGCCAGTCACGCACCCACAGCCTAATTTACCTCATGTTTGATGTAGTGGTTTTGTTGTGAGGACAAGGTAGAGGAGAGGAGAATAGGATGTGGTAGACCGCTTTGAGCCCACACTGGGGAGAAAATCAGGATATACATTTTAAAAAACTGTAACTGTGTTTGAAGCACTATTACAAACCCTACATCAAAGGGGATGTCTGTACCTGCGCAATTTTCTTCACCGGACTGATGGGTTTCCATTCTGTACGGCTAAACGTGCTGCCTTCCATGGAGATAGATCCAGATGGGTAGCCGTGTTAGTCTTCCTGTAGCAGTAGTAAAGAGCAAGAGTCCAGTAGCACCTTAAAGGCTAACAAAATTTGTGGCAAGGTATGAGTTTTTGCAAAGGTGGAGCTGTGGTGGCTCAAGTGGTTAAGACGCTGAACTGCAGGCTGTGGAAGGCCGGTAGTTCAGCAGTTCGAGACCCGAGTGTGCTGCATGACGGAGTGAGCTCCTGTCTCTAGTTCCAGCTCCTGCCAACCTAGCAGTTCGAAAGCAAGAAATTGCAAGTACATAAATAGGTACCACTTCGGTGGGAAGGTAACAGCGTTCTGTGCGCCTCGGTGTCTAGTCATGCTAGCCACATGACCACAGAAATGTCTTTGGACAGTGCTCGCTCTTCGGCTCTGGAACGGAGACGAGCACCGCAACCTTAGAGTCAGATTCGACTGGCTTTCGAGCAAGGGAACCTTTACCTTTACCTATGAGTTTTTGTGAGTCACTGCTCACTTAGAAATTTGCACATCAAGACTGGCCACAGCTATGATACAAAGTTCAGCAAATTAGGGGGATCCCCCCCAGGTTTGCAGAATAATCTTTTTGTTTGTTCTCAATGAATCACGGAGTACAATTTCACATACACCCCCCCGCCACCCCAGTTAATAGCAATGAGTTGGATCCAGTGATGCATGGAGTGGCTGTGGCTCAGTGGGAAGATCATCTGCTTGGCATGTAGAAGATTGCAGGTTCAATCCCCGGGACCTCCAGTTAAAGAATCTGGCAGTAGATGGTGTGAAAGACCTCTGTCTGAGACCCTAGAGAGCTGCTGCTGCCAGTAGAAAATCCTGACCTTGATAAACCAGTCAGGTCTAACTCTGCAGAAGGCAGCTTCTTACATTCACAAATGGAAGGAAAATGTTCTTAGTGCGGTTCTGCTTGTGGAACCAGCAGCACAAAGGCTGCAGCAAGACATCGTTTTGCAATATCATTTCTAACCAAATAACAAAATGTGTAGAGCAATGGGATGTACTGCCATGTTTCTGTGCTTGGGCCCCTCTCCCTACAAAGTTTTATTCTGGGTATAAGCTTTCACGTTTCACTGGGTATAAGACTTCACGCTCCTGGGATCCCAGATCACCGCAAACTGTGACAGCAGCCATGAAATTGAAAGACGCCTGCTCCTTGGGAGGAAAGCGATGGCGAACCTCAACAGCATGATAAAAAGTAGAGACATCACCCTGCCAACAAAAGTCCGCATGGTCAAAGCAATGGTATTCCCAGTAGTCGTGTATGGCTGCGAGAGTTGGACTATAAGGAAGGCCGAGCGCCGAAGAATAGATTCTTTTGAACTATGGTGCTGGAGAAGACTCTTGAGAGTCCCTTGGACTGCAAGAAGATCAAAGCAGTCAATCCTAAAAGAAATCAACCCTGACTGTTCCCTGGAAGGCCAGATAATGAAACTGAAGCTCAAATACTTTGGCCACCCAATGAGAAGGGAGCACTCACTGGAGAAGACCCTGATGCTGGGAAAGACTGAAGGTCAAAGAAGATGGGGACGGCAAAGGATGAGATGGTTAGACAGTGTCATCGATGCAACGAACATGAAGTTGAGCAAACTTCAGAGGATGGCGGAAGACAGGAAGGCCTGGCGTGTCCTTGGGGCCGCAAAGAGTCGGACTCGACTGTGTGACTGAACAACAACAAAAATAAGCTTTCATGTACACGCATGCGTCTTCAGATACATACATTCTTCAAGAAGTGTGCATGCACATGCAAGTTTATACCCAGAATAAAACTTTGTAGGTCTTAAAGGTGCCGCTGGACTCAAACGTTGTTCCGCTGCTTCAGACCAGCATGGCTACCCAACTAAATCTGGATTCATAAAGAATTGGTCTACCAAAGGCTGTAGCCATTGTGGGTAAAGGGAACCTCTACTACATCCAGAGAAAGTCAACCTCTGAAACCCAGTGCCAGTAGGAAGCATTAAGGAAGGGTCTTGGCCTCTGTGGCCTGGTTTTTTTTGGCCCTCCAGGGCAACTGGTTGGCCACCATGTGAGACACAATGCTGGATTAGATCCAGCAAGGCAGTGATATGCATTTAAACTTCCATCTGTTTATCATAATATTTTTGCCTTGCTTTTTGCTACAAGTATCCACAAAATTACATCAGAAACCGTACCAAGCTGCAGTTGAGCACTGTATACTTTGGTGTGAAATGTCAAGGCCTTAAATATGTTCAGGTGGGCAGTCGCGTTGGTCTGAAGCAGCAGAACACAGCTGGAGTCCAGCGGCACCTTTAAGACCAACAGAGTTTAATTCTGGGTATAATAAGCTTTTCATGTGCATGCTTAGTTCTTCAGACGTGTGTTCTTTCTGATCCCTGGTGCTAATCTGCAGTTTGCAATGTGGCCACTAGAGGCCACTGATTCACTTGCTTCTATGAGCAGCTTGTCCCAACCCGGTGTCTCGGGGTTCATCTTTCCATGCGATTATTTTCTTTGAGAAAGAAAATCCTGAGTCACTCTTTGGAGCAGGTCCTTGGATGGTCTGCCTTTGGATAGTCACTATGCCTATGTAAAACCACTTGATGATGGGTTAGATGGGCCGGGGGGGGGGGGGCTCCAATCTCTGGTCCAGAGCCAAATTTGACTTCGTTCTGAACCTCATAAAAGGTAAAGGTAAAGGTTCCCTTGCTCGAAAGCCAGTCGAATCCGACTCTAGGGTTGCGGTGCTCATTTCCGTTTCAAAGCCGAAGAGCCAGCGCTGTCCGAAGACGTTTCCACGGTCATGTGGCCGGCATGACTCAACACCAAGGCGCACGGAACGCTGTTACTTTCCCACCGAAGTGGTACCTCATACATCTCTTTTAATTTCAGACAATTACGTTTGGCATATTGGAGGGGTAGGCGGGGTGCTGGAATAAGCAGGGCGTGAAGGGAATGGCAGGCCAAGAGTTTAATGGCACCGAAAGGGGGTTTTTTAGAGTCTTTTCAGAAAGGGACATTCAAATGATATCGGTCAACCCGACTGAAAACCTGCCATAGGTTTAGCACCCTAAATAAATCACACCAGCTGCTCCGGGGTATGTGTGTGACCCCTTTGTGAGACCTCGTACCTGCGGCTTCCTACTGAAGAGTCTGGATCTGGGGCGGCTCTGAGAGGGGTGGGGTTTGAGGGGAGGAAGGACTCCAGACAGGGTTGAAGTGGAGCTGGCTTTTAAAGCAGCCCATCAGGCATCAGTCTGTCTTTGAAGGAGCAGTGGTCCCCTCAAAG